TTGCAGCTTGACGCGTAATACGAATTACAACTTACTTTGTCACTTCGGGTAACCGGGGCTCCGACTCAACGTGCAGGAGAAGGAACGGGGTGGTTTTTAGTCAGTAAGAGTCTGACACTCCCTCCCGCCTCACCCAGGCGGGCGCAGTCATTCGATGTTTTCCCCTCTTAAAAAAAGTACTAAGCTTGTTTACACAATTCGCGTTGTATATACGTTTTAAATTTGCTTTCATTAAGATCTAGCATGATACTTGGTATTTTATTATAACATGTAACACATAACCCCATGAAGGATTTGTGTACCTACCTTGGACAGTCTGAATTGCCTCCGATAATGTCACAAGACGGCGAAGCACAACGCGAGCGTTGTGTTTCACGTGTATCAAGCGGTATACAGTCCTAAGTTTTTATGTAGCTACTTGGAAATTGGAACAATTCGAAATAACAGAGATAATGAGACAGAAAGATCTTAGAACTTGACTGACCAACTTCTGCGGACAGTTATGTACCTACAATCCTACATTTTAAGGCAACTTTAAATTTCGAACCATTTCATATTTCGAACATTCGGTGATTCGAAATATTTTAACGAGTCCCTCGAGTTGACTGTATAATAATTAGGTGAGAATTAAAACAAACATGTAAATACATATAAAACTTTAATAAAACAATAGAAATATTCATACAACCTGGAATGCGTTACATGTCATTTAATATCATTACGTCTATGTAAATACACAGTACAGTATTGTCCACTGGGCAGCAGGCCAACCTACTCATTTCTATCGAATTTCTTTATTCGATTTTCAACTCTATCGTTCTGATATAGTCTTTCAACTCCAATGACAATAATTAACACGTTGGAGTAGGCTGATGTGCTGGCCACTGTACAAGATTATAACACGAGTAGGTAATAAAATTGAGCTCTGTTAGAAAAACACATGTACAAAAATAAATTATTAACAAGAAAAATATTATATCAAATAGAGTACCTTTAGCAGCCTTTACACAGCGCTTTGTAAAAATATTATCTACTTTATTTAAAAAAAAGTGTCACTTACATTATTATTCTTAAAAAAAACATTTTATACTTAAAAAAAAACTATAAACAGTTAACAGAAATACGACAGAAGAGTAGAAGTTGTACCTATTTTTAGTATAATACGTATACTGAATTCATGCCTGGAGTATAGCAATAGGGTCACCATTATTCCAAAGAACTCATAAAACAGAAACTAATTAAACAAAGAATGCGCCCTGGACAAGCACCTCATGGGCGCCACAATTTTTTTTTTTTTGGTCACCGCCGCGCCGGGCTTATTACGAGTTAGTTTTACGTTTAAAGTCATCGAAACGAGTACTCGTTCGGCGCTCTGATTGGCCGGCACCAATGAAGCAACCAATCACAGCGCGTACTAAGGCCTCTGATGGATGGCTCCAATGAACCAACCAATCTGAGGGCTTAGTACAAGTTTATTGTACGTTTAAAGGCCGATTTTTCAATGATCAGATTTAACTTTGAACATTTGACAATTCTTCCATACTAAAATCTATCAAATGTCAATTTTATTATACAGTTAAGAATTAACTGATGATTGAAAAATTGACCCTAAACTAATCGTAACGAGTACGTGTTCGACGCTCTGATTGGCCGGCTCCAATGCACCAACCAATCAGAGCGTAATAAAAAAAATTACAACTTCAAAGAAGATGATACATGTTAAACAAAATATATAATTATTATAGTATAGTCGACCTTAACCCTTGCCCAGCGTGTACGTGTTCGGACTTGAAACACTTTAAATTACGGAAAATACGTGACAAGAGTACTTAAATTATTGTCGGAACTAAGATGAGATGGGGAGACAAGATAATAACGACTACTAGCCAGGAAGGTAGTTTAGATTTCATTTCTAAAATAGCTCATGTAAAAATCTCTATAATTCGAATAACGTGGTATCCCGGAGGTTTAAGACGCCCGCTTCTCATGCATGAGGGTGCGGGTTGGAAATCTAGTATACTTAATGTTCAAACCCTCGTGGGTATAATGCTCAAACCCTCTCCGTGTGAGAAGAGGCTTTAGTCAACAGTGGTTACTTACAGGTTGTTGATGTGTTGATGATGTGAAAAATCTAAACAAATAATTTTGCTAGCATCCCACTTCTTTTCTTTATCCTTACTTCCTTATCCTTACTATTCCTTACTAATATTATAAATCGGAAAGTGAGTTTGTTTGATTGTTTGTTTGTTCCGCTTTCACGCCATAACTACTATACCGATTGCTTTGAATTTTTGCAGATGTATAATAGATGTCCCGGAAAAAATTGATATTTCCGAGGGAAAACAAAAATATTGGTATAGATGGCGCTGTGTATATTGGTATATGTCACATTGGCTTTTTATCCTTTTGTGATGCGAGCGAAGCCGCGGGTAAAAGCTAGTATTTATTAAAGCGGCATGCAAAGAGGAACATACCTTAATAACATAATTATAAAGTCACTAGCTGTTGCCCGCGACTTCGTCCGCGTAGATTAATGCCTTCTGACAGAATTCATCATAATCAATTCAGTGCCCAATTAAGATTTACCTATTGTGAAATGATTTATCGTAATTTCAATAAATTAAAAATCCCGCAGGGTTCTTACCAGTCCCGGCCCGATCACGTAAGTTTTGAGTAATAAAAACTTCGACTGTTGTACAGAATCTCTATGAAATAAGTTCAGTGGTTAAAAGATAGAGAGTCCTGGAGCATTGACGCATAGTTCCCGTTCCCGAGGGACTTCTGAGATAAAAACTATCATACGTTACTCAGGTCCCAAATCATCGTTTTACCGAATGTAATTCAAAAAGATTCAATGATTCTAGATTCAATTTTCATTCCCATTTTCACACCAACTATCATTCCCTATTTTATCCCCTTAGGGGTGGAATTCATCAAAATCCTTTCTAAGGAGATACCTATGTCATAGTAACTTTATGCATGCAAAGTCTCAGCCCGATCGGTTTAAAACTGGCAAAGTATCACACAAACTTTCACCCTCTATATTACCCACTTTGGGGTGGAAATGTTCAAAAACCTTTCTAAAGGGACGTGTACGTCATAATATCTACCTGCACGCCGAATTTCAACCCGATCTGTGTAAAACTGACAAAGCCTCATACAAACTTTCATCCCCTACATTATCCCATTGGAGTTGGAAATGATCAAAATCCTTACTTGGAGAT